CCTGAATTACTCTGTTTTTCTCTCCCTGCCTGTTCAACTGCCCCCCACCCCATCACACACCTTCACCTTCTTCCTCACTGTTGCAAAAACCAGCGTCTCGTGGGAAGATGCTGCCCGGGGCTGCTATTTGCACGACGTGCAGAATCCAGCTCCCGGGTGGCAGGGTCCCTCGCAGCTCGCCGTGGATCTGGAGTCGGGCCGTGGCCCCCCCGGCACCCCCTCGCCCACCCAGCACCCGTGCTCACACCTGCCTTTCGGCTCCACCTCACCTCCAGAGTCCTGAGGCCCCTCAGGCAGGAACCAGTTCTTTGGCCAAAACATCCTCTTGGTGACAAGATTCCCGCACGGAATAAACTGGGACACATGGGCAGACGTCTACTCCTGCCATCGGTCACCGCATCAGAGGAGGCGTCCTTGATACTAATGGTCCCCTGACAGGTCCTCACGGAACGTCTCCAGTGTTCTGAAACCTGTTTGCTGATGGACCCGATTCAGCCACTAGACTGTGGGGTCCTCGGGGACCACCACTCCAACTCGGGGCACTCACAATGTCCAGCACCTAACAGCTCAGGGTGAGTCGTGGCTGAAGAAACCCACAACATCAGTCATGAACGGCAGGCGAACTGCAGAGCCGAGCATCGAGGTGGTTACTACGGTGGGTGAGTTAAGAGCACCAAGGCTGGGACGGGCACTTGAAGTGCCCCAGCCTTGGGTTTGGAAGGATAACAAGCATCACTGCTGACTCCACCCGTGAATCTGGCCAGGTTTGCAGGAAGCAGTGGCCGAGCGACCGGGAGGACGCCCCTGGGGGCCCCACGTCCCTCGCCCGGAGGTGGCCGGGAGAGGAGGGAGGGGTGGGTGGGCACGGGGCTTTGGTTGTGAACCATTGGTGTTGCCATCAGCCCTCTGGGGGCCAGCTGGAGGTGCCGGTGCTGAGTGCGCTCAGCACGTAGAAAGGGTTAATCCAGGTGGGAAGTTATATAGAACGTCCTGGAGTTTCATCCCCGATCTAAACTTGGGCTGAAAAGGTCCAGGCCTCAAGAAGAGGTCACACACACTGCGCTGCTGGATCAGCTCCAACCCCGGGTCTCCCCCCGGTTTGTTCGTCCCGAGAGGACGCTGCACAGTAAGCCAGGACCACGCGGAGAAAGGCATCAAAAACGCAGAGCGTCTGTGTGCCCGAAGGAACTCCCCCTTCCCCAAACACAGCGGTCCTGCCCGCCGAGAGGCGGCGAGGAAGGCAGCGTCCAAACGCAGACCGCTGACCCGGCCACCGCGGGGAGGCTGCCGGGGGCCGTGGGGTGCTCACCCAGAGACAACCCCTCCCCAGAACCGACAACCGTGCGCACATCACCAGGGCCTCTGTCTTCTGGGGCCTCCAGGGGCTGGGGGACAGAGACCTGGATGTGTGCATTTAAAAGCCGTGTTTCTGTCTCAAAATGTCCTAGGACTTGAAACCAACACGACACTGTGAAGCAATTACCTTCCAATTAAAAACAAATTTTAAAAAATGTTATAAACTTGGATTAAAAAAAGCCTCCTTCATCCATTTTTGGCTCCCCAATTTGACTCCCACATAGCCGCTGCTCGGGGGACCACAGGAGCGAGGTGGTCAGGGGTCTGGAGGCCACTCGGTCACAGCCCGTTTGGGAAACACGGAGTCTGAGTCATTCACCCAGCGTGGAGCTGGCATGCGGCAGAGTCCGTGCCGAGAGCCAGGCGCCCTTGAGTTCCCACCCTCATGTGACATCTCCCCTCTGAAATCTTCAACTATACTCTGCTGTGAAAAGATACTACACACCTAATTTCAATCAATTTGAATCACTTTGGTTTGTTTGAATTTTCACCAAAGAAAGCGACAGGTGGTATAAACTTAGTCTTAATGTTACTGAAGTGATTTATGTAAAATGCCCTTTCACACAGTTAAGAGGAACACAGGAATTAACCCACATCAAGTGTAACTGATCCCTGATAACAACCACAATAACAAATCTGGTTCAAAATTGGGAAAGGAGTACATCAAGGCTGTATATTGCCGCCCTGCTTATTTAACTTCTATGCAGAGTATATTGTGTGAAATGCTGGGCTGGATAAATCACAAGATAGAATCACAATTGCGGGGAGAAATATCATAACCTCAGATATGCAGAGGACACCACCCTTATGGCAGAAAGTAAAGAAGAACTAAAGAGCCTCTTGATGAAAGTCAAAGAGGAGAGTGAAAAAGTTGGCTTAAAGCTCAACATTCAGAAAACTAAGATCACAGCATCCAGTCCCATCACTTCATAGCAAATAGATGGGGGAAAAAATGGAAACAGTGACAGACTTTATTTTCTTGGGCTGCAAAATCACTGTGGATGGTGACTTCAGCCATGAAATTAAAAGATGCTTGCTTCTTGGAAGAAAAGCTATCCCAAACCTAGATAGCATATTAAAAAGCAGATACATCACTTTGCCGACAAATGTTCATATAGTCAAGGCTATGGTTTTTCCAGTAGTCATCTATGGATGTGAGAAGTGGACCATAAAGAAATTGGAGTGCTGAAAACTTGATGCTTTCAAATCATGGTGCTGGAGAAGACTCTTGAGAGTCCCTTGGAAAGCAAGGAGATCCAACCAGTCAATCCTAAAGAAAATCAACCCTGAACATTCATTGGAAGGACTGACACTGAAGCTTAAGCTCCAGTATTTTGGCCACCTGATGTGAAAAGCCAACTCACTGGAAAAGACCCTGATGCTGGGAAAGATTGAAGGCAGGAGGAAAAGGAGACGACAGAGGATGAGATGGTTGGATGGCATCACTGACTCGATGGACGTGAGTTTGAGCAAGCTCTGGGAGATAGTGAAGATCACACAAGTCTGCTGAGCTGCAGTCCACGGGGTTGCAAAGAGTCAGACACAACTTAGCGTCTGAACAACAACAACGGATCAGATTAATTGAACAAGACAATGTGCCAGGCTTTGTTTAAGAAAATTATTGCAAACATGTTCAGCGGTGGGGGCTCCAGGATTAATTGGGAAGAACACAGGGGAAGGCTACAGACACAGAGGGGGGGAAGACAGTGGCATCCTAATTACAAGGTTTATATATACTGCGGTGTGGGGTATAATTACACAGTTCTGTGGGACTTCGCAGCGCGGGGTATAAACTGCACGTCTATGCAGAGGCTCACCACTAGATGGCAGTGTACACCAAATAAAGAACTTACACCAGACACAGGCCTGCAAGTTTTAGGTGTGTATGTTGTAATTTCCCATACTTTTACTAAGATTCCAAATTGTATGTCAATCTCTTTTAAGAATCCATTGGAAGTGTAGCTGAACACAAGGTCAGGATCAGTAAAGAAAGGTCAAGATCAGACTCTGGTTGTTAAGCATCGGCGTCCAAAAATGAACAAGTGCCTACCTGTGCGTGTGTGCGCGCGCGGGCGCAGCGTTCAGTGGTGGGGTTTGGGGGAAGGGTGGCCTTTCAAACTCTCCTGGAAGCCCTGGGAGGGGCTAGAGACTAGTTCAGATTATGGGGGCAGAATCTGTGGGTAGGACGGGGTGGCTGGTAACGGTCACAGTTGTACAAGGCTTCCTGGGCTGTTCCAACGCACCCGCCTCTCACCCTGTGGCTTGCAGCACGGGGCAGGGCGAGGTGAGTGGTGTGTTCCGTTGCGCTCTTAGACCTGTCCTGTGCTGATATGCAGATATACAGATGCGTGGACGTGCTGAGGGGGAGGGCAAAAGGACTAAGTGAGCTAACTCACCACCTCCTCTGACCTTGTGTCTGTTTCTACATCAATACAGTTGTCCCTCCTTGTCCACCGGGTGATACATTACAAGACCCCAGTAGACCCCTGAAACCCACCGTAGTACCCGATCCCAATATATACATTTTCCTGCACATGCAAGCTAAGTCGCTTCAGTCACGTCCAACTTGTTGCGACCCTATGGGCCAGGCCCCTCTGTCCACAGAATTCTCCAGGCAAGAACACTGGAGTGGGTTGCCATGCCCTCCTCCAGGGGATCTTCTGGACCCTGGGATCGAACCTGAGTCTCCTGTCTCATGCATTGGCAAGTGGGTTCTTTCCCACTAGTGCCACCTGGGCGGCCCTTTTCTTGTATGTACATACCTATTTATTAGGTACAGTAAGAGATTAACAACTAATAATAAAATAGAACAATTATTATAGTGTGCTATACTAAAAGTTATGTGAATGTGGTCTCTCAAAATATCTTGCTTTACAAATTTAATGTCTTTTTCCATCTTAACTAAGCACTTATCATGGACCGTGGCCATAATGTTTAAAGCTTTTGATGCAACAGCAAAAATAGTACAGTGTTCTTTTTCCTTCTTCGAAACATTGCAGATAGAAGCTTCTTTCTTAACAGTAGATCTTAGCAACCCCAGCATGTATTTTTTCTTTCCTTATGAAGAACTTTCATCTTTTCACTCAGAGGAGGCACTTTCCGGCTTCTCTGTGGCAGAACAGTGGCCAGCATCAGTCCCCTGGCAGTTTGGGCCCATGAGCAAGTGTATCAGTCACTCCAACACCAGCCATGTGACGCCTCAACCATCCATCTGACACCTGCTGGCTACCAAGTGCCTACTGGGCTGACATGCCGGACAAAGGGATGACCACGTCCCGAGTGGGATGGAGAGAACAGATTCCACCTCGCTGCTCAGAACGGACCATTCAAAACGTATGAATCACTTACTTCCAGCTTTTCCACTTAATGTGTCTGCATCAAGGTTGGCTGTAGGTAACTGGCACCTTAAAAAGTGAACCCACGGATACAAGACACCACTGTATCTATACAGAGGAATGACAGAAATGACTAAGTTTAACTACGAGAGTGTATGTAGTTTATATAAGTTTATGTGTGTTTATTCATCTCCTTGAACATTTATCGAATGCCTCAGGATGCCAAGGAAACTGTAAAGATAAATGAAATCACATTTGTTAATATCTGTAGCGTAGAGAGCCTGAAAACACTCTTGCCACAATACGAACCCAAAAGGCTAGATAAAACGCTTTTAAAGTCCTCGTACATGCACAGCTGCGTACACAAGTGAGGTCCCAGGAGTGACCGGGGCCCGTCCGTCCGTGCACTGGAGAGCCCCATCGCTGCGCGCGGCCCTGACGCTTCAGCCACCAGCGGGAAGCCGGAGACCCGCTTCGGGTGCGGCGCCCAGCGAGGACGGACGGGGCGGCGCGTACGGCCGGAGCCCGGGAGACGCTCCGCGGCCCGCGAACAAGAAAAGGAGACCCACGGAAGGACACGGATGGAGCACCGCATGGCGGCCTTGGTCCCTCGAGGGGAAAATGTGAAAATGTGCCTCTAATGAGACCACAGTCCTGGGCTGGCCTGGGATGGGGTTCAAATGGACACTTCAGCACAGGGTGAACAAGAAAACGGCTGTAAAGCATTTAAAGCATTGTCAGATTGGGAGCACCCTGGAAATATCAAAAGAAGACCATCACAAGGCAAGTCAGAAGTTACGGAGGCTGCGTCCGAGTCTCAGACACCGGGGAGAGGCCGTGTGGGGACGGAAGCTGAGGGGACGCCTGGGGCCACCAGGAACTGGAGGAGGCAGGAAGGACCCTGCTCCAGGCCTTCGAGGCACCGTGGCCCTAGGACGCCCTGATTGTGGACTTCAGGCTGCAGGGCTGTGAGACGCATCAGTGTCCGACCCGTTAAGCCCCCGAGTCTGCGGTGCTTCGTTACAGCCGCCCCAGGACACCCGCACATCAGGTAGCAGTCCGGGCTTTCGACCCCGCCCGCCCTCCAAACCAGTAGGAGGAAGACCGGAGTCTGCAGCGCTCCCGGGACTGATGCCGTGCGTCCCCTCCACGGCTGAATCAATTCTCTCCCCGCTCGCCGCAGTTCCCCCTCTGAGAAGCAGTGTGGGACCAAGGGCCCGCCGGCTCACTTCTTACGGCACCAAACGCAGTAACACTAGTGAATGAGTGACTACTAATAGCAAAGCCCACGACTGGGCAGGAACCATGAGATGAACAGGAGTATTTATGAATCAAAACTTGTAAAACTGTTTTATTTGCTTAAACAAAGGAGAATCTGCAAGGAGCACATGGTAGGTGCAAACGGTGATTTGTTGTGATTACCAATGCCCTTGACGGGGCAACCCCAGACGCTACAGGACCGCCAGGCCCCGCCAAAGGCAGTTTGCAAATCCAGATGTCTGTGGCAGGATCTGACTACAAGAAACCAGGTTTTAACTCGAGAACGTGGTGTTTCCCAATCACAGCCCTGTGGAGAGGACTATGAGAGAACTCTGGGAAGGCCTCTATCAAGAGCTCCTATTTGAAAAGAGTGTGATGTGCTGGGTGATTATAATTCTGTGACAAATTAGACCAGCCTTTGGTGTCTTTGAAATGTAGTGTCTTAATAAAGGTACATACAGCTTAAAAGATGCAGCTGTGAAATTACAGGATGAAATTATCACAAGACTTTGATGGAGTCCTGGTCCGATTCCAAAGAGGAAGTTTCCCATGAAGCTGTCTCCTTCTCTCCGAAAGGGCCTTGATCTCTGCCCAGCCCTATGAATTCCACGATGGATAAGGTAACTAGAGGGACCGCAGAGTGGGGGAGAAGTTGCGGAAGATATAGGGAAAGCTCTAACATACCTCTAATTGGAGTTCCTGAAGGAGAGGAGCGCTATTTAAAGACAAGCTAGTGGAGTACTGGAGAGGTGTCAACCCTCCGGGTGAGGAACTGTCAGAAACCTCAGGGAGAGTATGTGAATAATTACGGCCTCCACCCTTACGAACAAGGCAGACATCAAGCACCAAAGCGAAAGTTGTCCTGTCACAGACAAGTGCTTACCACGGTTTGAGAGCCCTGATCTTTGCATATGTCTTGTGTGAAAGTGAAAGTCCCTCAGTCATGTCCGACTCTTTGCAACCCCATGGACTATACGGTCCATGGAATTCTCCAGGCCAGAATACTGGAGTGGGTAGCCTGTCCCTTCTTCGGGGGATCTTCCCGACCCAGGGATCGAACCGGGGTCTCCTGCACTGCAGGCAGATTCTTTACCAACTGAGCTATGAGGGAAGGTATACGTCTTGTGTACCTTCCATGAATTCAGGGTTAGGGCTGCCTCTGTGATACCCAGGAAAACCCACAAGAGGTGAACTCTGAGGAGTGAGATGCTGCAGGGTCGAGGTCCTCAAGCCACGGTGATGACTAGCAGCTCTCAGACCTTGGGGTCAACATCACCCCTGCACAGAAGGCAGGATCCACGAGCCACGTCACTGGGCACCACTGCCTCCGAGAAGGACGGATTACAGGGACCGCGCAGAAGTCCTAGAGGACTGTTTGCATGATCTGCAATTTATCCAAAAGCGCGCTCTAGGCAGTCGTCTCCTGACAGGTTCAGCCGAGCGGAGCACATCCCTGAGCAGGGACATTCCTTGGGGAAATTCATTGGTGGCCACGGAAGGAAAAACCATCCTGGATGCCTTGGTTTGCCTCTGTCGATGGGGAGCACCAAGTCTGGGGGGAGGGGCCTTGGTTCACAAGGTACCTTCTGAGCTGCGAACCCATCAAGACACACATTGGGAGATCTGGATAAAACCTGCACTTCCCTGGGCTTCTCCTGCTCTCAGCACAGGAAATTTCAGAGATTCATGTCCTTTCCCCATCCAGGGCCCTCCAATCAGAACCGTATCAGGTATCGAGAAAGTCCAAGGAACCCCTAGGCCAAAGGTCCAGGAGCTTTTCCTCACAAAGGACCCAAGAGGCTTGTTTCTTTGCCTCACTGAATCCTTCCCTCCCTCCCCCACAGTTCCAGGGCACTTGCTCTGTGCTGGGCGCTCCGGGTGCACGGACACCCTAAGAGACGGTCCCCCACGAGCATTTCCTGAGTGCCTGCTCTGTGCCGGCGAGGCAGGAGGGGGACGCGCCCCTGGGCTGGACAGCTGGTGTTTGTCAGGCGGAGTCCAGCTGAAGCCTTGTTCTCAACCAGTCACTCCGAGGACGGAGCTCATGGCAGAGGCTGAGCTCTGCTGAAGTAGAAGACACGGTGGTCAGGAGAGGTCGAGGAGGACTTCCCTGTCTGCACACGCACAGGGGCCTCTTGGGGTCAAAGAGGGAGGGGCACCGCCCCATAATAAGTGTGGATGGGCACCCACGGGCTTCTGCAGCGGGATCCAGGGAACCGCTGCCTCTAGCTTCTACCCCTGGTGGTCTAGTGGGAAGGTGTCTGGGTTTTCATCCAGTTACTCAGGTCCAACTCCTGGGCAGGGAACTAAGATCTCTCTTTAGGACTGCTCACCACTCTCCCTCCAAGATAACCGGGTGCTGGCCATCCACGGACACCCCACGCGATGGTGGCCAGCACACGCAGGGGGATGACCTCTTCAGAGGGCAAGATTGAACCATGGCCTCCCAGTGACCTTAGCTAAATGTAATTTAAGGAATCATTTACACAGAAACTAGAGGGGCTCTGTGTTACTTTATTAGCAGAGTGCAGAGACTGCTGTTTCTTGCTTTCCAGTGGAGAGCAGCAAACCCTGGAAATAGGACTCTCTGGAAAGGCGACAGAAGGGCACTGCTTGGTTGTTGATGGCACTTGCTTTTTACGCAAGAAAACTGTAGAGAGACAGATGCGGGAGGGAACAAGAGATGACCAATAGGAGATCAATGGCCTCAGGATGATGAGCTCAGCTATTCAAGCCATGTTCTAAATCCTCAATTTTCTTTCTTTCTTTCTTTTTTTTTGTGAAATAGGCTATATATATATATATATGTATATATATATACATATATATATAATATAATATAACTAGAAGATTAGCAAAATCATAAGCAAGAATTTAAGCCAAAAACTTCTATCAGGCGTCGCCCAGTATATCCCAGGTCATCTGACTGCATCTGTTCTGGACCAATCCTTATGTTTACTAGATACAGGTAAGTGGCCACACATCCAACTGGACTGAGTTCTAAAAACACACATAGAATCGTGTCCATGACAGAAAGCATCTGCTTTATATGCTAAGGCCCAAGAAGTCAAGAAAGCATTAAAAATGATCGTACGAGTCAGGTCCAGCATCCTGGCAAGATGTCTACTTCTGATGTCTCCTCCTCATCTTGGGGTGAGCACTCTCCATAGACCAGTCCCGTGTAGGGACCTTTGGAAGTGGGAATTAGCCCAAGAGTCAGTTTCCTTTCCATGTCACCATGTTTGAGCTGGTTAAGAGTACCTGCTACAGCTCCTTCCACCCAGGATGGAGATGGTCCTTTAAATTGTGTCTTCTCCAGTACACATGATTTCCAGTTTTTGACTCTACTATGTTGAGATCCCATGAGGAGTTAGTGAGTTTTGTCCAGAACCACTCTGCTTCATTCTCCTTATGCAAAAACATTAAAACCGCCATTGATGATGTGTCAGGCAGGTTCACCGACTATAACGAGTATACCAGATGGTGGGGGAGGCGGTGTGTGGGTGGGTTCAATGGAAACTCTGTACCTTCAGCTCAACTTTGCTGTGAACATAAAACTGCTCTCGCAAACACGTTGGCTCACTGCTCTGAGAACAAATACAATCACAGGTTCTTTCTTTTCCGCTGTGCGTACTCCCACCTTCTCCGGGGGCCCCTGGGCATAGAGGGAAGCTTCCCGCTGCACTCTGAGAAGCAAGGCTAGAGAGACAAGGGTGGGCCACCCTCCCCCTCCCCAGGAGACAGCTAAGAGGACAAACGGGCTGTGAGTCACCACACAGTGACATCAGATCCCTGTTCCTTCAGACACGGCTCCATCTCCAGCTGCAGAGCTGTGGTCACTTTCAAACTGAGACAGAAACAGGGACCGGGTGTGGGGATTTCTGAAGACGTCTGTAGCGGGTACCACTCAGGCAGGTCTATACAGTGTTTCAGTTTTCTTCACCACCCCTGGTCCCAGACTATCAGATGCCCTTTCAAATTCTAGGAAACAAACTCTCCTCCCCTCCACCAGTTTCCTTCTGGCTGATTTTCTTAAGCAGTAAGCCTTGAACACGCTGTAGGATGAGGGGCCGACAGCCCTGGAGAGCATTTTTGGCCCCTCCTAATGTTCCCAAAGTTTCCCTGGTGTCTCAGACGGTAAAGCGTCTGCATGCAATGCGGGAGACCTGGGTTCAATCCCTGGATTGGGAAGATCCCCTGGAGAAGGGAATGGCAACCCACTCCAGTATTCTTGCCTGGAAAATCCCACCGCTGGAGCATCCTCGTAGGCCACAGTCCATGGGTTTGCAAAGAGTCAGACATGACTGAGCAACTTCACTTTCACTGTCAGTGTTC